TGGAAGTGATCTACTTATCGGATGAAGTACCAGAAGGTAAGGTGAGTAAGCATGCATACACAAATCAAAGACCTGAGCAATGACATTTTTTCTTCAAATCTAAAGACACATTGAAGTTCACTGTACATAAATTCTCATTATTGCTTATTAGCGCAATAATTAAAAATTATTAAATATTAGTGCAGCAATTCAGTGCAAAGCAGTTTTGCATACTGGATAATACTCTGTCTAACTTTATTTTTCAGACCATCCTTGGATGTGTTACTCCATTAATCATAACTGAAGGGCTACGGACTTGATTACAACCAGACATATGAGATACTTCTCTGTTTTCATGTTTTAGCTGTGGTAAAATGGTGTGGTCTGTTTGAAACAGGAAGAAATAAGACCAATGTAACATATTTAATATATAAACTATTGTACTGTGTGTCACTACTCTTCAACTGCTACATTTAACAACACAATTCTTTCTTTCTTTGCATTTATTGTACATTTTTAATGATAATAATGAATTTCTACTAATTCTACCGGTTCAGCAAGCCAAGACCAAGTTACAAAAAAATGTTGACATTAGAATCAAAAATTCCTATTGTGTTTATGTTTATTATTTACAATCATTGTAAAATTGTTTTTCACTGCCAAAGTGGTTCTTTCCACAGGAGGAGGTTACATTAAAAATGGGTTTATTTCTCTGGTGCAACAGAGGAGACCTGGGTGACCTGAGATGAAGTAGAGGCCTCATCTTCCTCAATATTTTTGCCACAGACCATCTTCATCATACAGGAACGGAACTGGGTTTTAAAAGAAAAGAGCAGAACATGTTACTTCAAGTGATTAGTTATGCCATGTGAACATGGCACTTGGTACTGTATCCCTGTAGGGACAAACTTCAACAATACTGCAAATGTATAATACTATACCTGTTTGTTCATTAAGACGTAGATGACAGGATTATACACTGTAGAGGCTTTAGAAAGGCAGGATGGTATGGTAGCCATTCTCAGATCAAAAGTTTCACCACGGTGGGAAACTATCCAGAGAGAAAAGCTAGCATATGGTGCCCAGCATAACAAGAAGCCGAACACCATCACCACCACCATCTTTGTCACCTCCCTCTCTGCCTTCTGGGTCGAAGCTGAATCTGCTTGAGCTTTGGCTGCCTGATAGGACAAACAAGGGATTTTAGAGCACCTGGCAACGTGAGCAACACTGCAATAATATACATATACAGTCTCCATCTAGTGGACACGAGCAATGTGTATCCCAAAGCATTAAAGAGTGTGGCAGGGGAATGAAAAACATTTATCATATATTCATGTAAAAAATACATAATAAATGGCATTTTATCAGTTGTGTTATCAGTATTTAATGTTAGTATGAATCTTACCTTTATTAAAAAAAATAAAGTGTGCATTTAATTTAATGATCTGCATGTTCATATAGCTATCTAAGGTTTTCCGATCAAAATAAAGAACAGGAATTAACCGAAAATAATATGGCTTTGTGGTCTTAATATTTATTTAAATCACTTATTTTTGCATTTTATACAACACTGTGTTGTTCTACGAAATTCCTCTTCCTTACCCAAACTTTTACTCTTTTCTCAAAACATTGACATTTTACTAAAATTATTCATTCTGGGGCAGCTTTCAATGGGAAATGCAAATTGTACTCACTAATTTGAGTGTAATGAGTAGTTGACCATAACAAAACATGATGGTGCCAAAAGGAACCGCAAAGCAAAAGCAGAACAAAAACATGACGTAGGATTCGTTGTTGTATTTGTTGTTAGTGGTATACCAGTCAGGTCCACAGGAGCACTGCAAACCTTCAGGTATGTACCTGTAAAAGATATCTCAGTGAGACTGATGGGATAGACAACTCCACACACTTGAATTATAATCAGAGGATTTCACTTCTGGACTTCAACTAGCTGTTTAGGAGTGGAGCAAAAAGGTGCTAGGTGTTGGTTTTCTTTCTTCAGGTTCAGTGGAGGGAGGCACTGTGGCTTTGTCCTTATCAATGTAGTATGAGCACTGGGACTTACGGCTCCAGCCAAACAGTGGAGGGAGTGAAGCTGCCGATGCACTAATCCAAGGAAGTATGCAGCCAGCTATGGCATGAGGGGTTTTGAAGGTAAAGTTCCCAAGGGGTTTGCAAATGACCAGCCACCTTTCAAATGCCACTACAGCAAGAGACCACAAACTCACCATTCCTGCAACAAAGAAAAAACAGAGAAACAGTTTATTGAATCTATGAACTACAATGGACTTCAACAAGCTAACACAGAAACTTTAAAATAATGTGGATGCATGTTGCATTTTACCTCCAAGTGTTGCAAGGAAGCCCTCAATTTTACATGCTGTCGGCCCGAAGATAAAGTACCTATTAAAGAAGGAGTAGAACGATAACGGGGAACCAAAAATGGCCACAAACAGGTTGGCAATGGCAAGGTTTACAAGAATATAGTTAAGGTGAGATCTGAGTTTCTTGAACTGAATTGTGCAAACAATGGTAAGGATGTTGATCGAAGTCCCTCCGATGAAAATAAAGAACATGAAGACAGCCATGGCCATGAATACACCTTGGTTTCCCAGGTGGTCCTGGGGGACCAAAAAAGGGCTGTAACCTGAGAGGTTGTTGACATCTAAAGGGATGGGTATGTAGAAGTCTTCGTGAAACTCTGGTACTTGCTTCATCTTGTTTGAAACTGGCAACCACTCCACCGAGAACGCTGTAACGCCTTGAAGCTTAAATAAGTTGTGTTATTTCCTTCGCAGATTACTGTAGCATCGCAAAAAAATTAAGTCGAACACGTATCACTGTAAATTCTCTCTTCGTTGATCACCAGATGAAGCCTCCCTCAAACTATTGCCAAGTGATCCTTCTTTTATAAGGATTCAAAAGATACCATTTCGCTCCTCCCAAATGGCCTTAATGGAAGGATTTGTGTTTTGGTGTCATCTACCAAACACACAGGCTCTTATGCACACACACACAAAATTACATCTGTGTATTGCAAAACACACATTTCACCTAATCTCATTTCCAACACCAAAACCTGGCTAATTCGGATCATCCCGTTCACCCTGCAGTGTGGTTCTGTGTTAGCGATGGCAGTTAATCTGCTGCACAGTGCAGATAATGCAGCTAATCACTTGCAGTTAACCCTCTTTAATCTGCTTCCCATCGTATTATCTTCAGCTCTGAGCCTGGAATCACGGCCTTTGTGAAGAGCCTTAAATACCTGACAGCTGAAATGCCCTTGACGCTCGTCTGTAGAGGGTTCTTGTGTCAGAGCCGAGAAAGGGACTACAACTTAGAACATCATACTTCTTCTATACGTACAAAACAGATAATAACCATAAATAATAGTCTATCAAATTATATTTTACACACATAAGCTACATAAGCAAAATATAAGCAAAAAACAGATAATGCTAAATGCAGTGAGAAACAAGCTTGTCAGCACACTGGATCACACACAGAAATAATAATCACACTAAAAGTGAATGTTACACAAATATAGTATTACATAGACTATACAAAACCTATACACTGTAAAAAATGATATGATCAGTAAGTCACGACAACTTATGTTTTTACATTAATTCGTCAAAATAAATCAAGCAATTTCAATTTTTTTTATAATTACACCAAAAAAATAAAATAATAATTTAGATTTTTTTTAAGTCGGTTTAATGCAATTTAAGTTGAAATTACTTGTACAACCAAGTTGATTATACTTAAAAATGTATGGCAGCAACTGAACTTTGAAATAGATGGAATTATTTTTACAGTGATACAAGAAAAAAAATTGTTTACAGGATGGAGTTTTAGTCATAGAATAAAGCCGAAGTTTATATGTACCTTATTGGTTTTGTTGCTCCAATGAGATAATGATTAGCAAACCTTACATTTTTTAGAGCAGTCACTTAGCTTACCAAATATTTTAAGATAGACTGGTAAAGCAATTTAAAACTTATTTTGATCTTAACACAATTTAAAGTCATAATTGCTTATTGACAACATCACATGTGCATTATTTGATAAAAATTAATAAGTGTATATATACACTGAACAAAATTATAAAAACAACACTTTTGTTCTTGCCCCCATTTTTCATGAGCTGAACTCAAAGATCTAAGACTTTTTCTATGTACACAAAAGGCCTATTTCTCTCAAATATTGTTCACAAATCTGTCTAAATCTGTGTAAGTGAGCACTTCTCCCTTGCAGAGATAATCCATCCACCTCACAGGTGTGACATATCAAGATGCTGATTAGACAGCATGATTATTGCACAGGTGTGCCTTAGGCTGGCCACAATATTCCCAAAAAGTGTTGCGTTTATAATTTTGTTCAGTGTAAATAAAATATTGTTAATTAATTAATTATTAAAAGTCTATTTGATAAG